CAGACACATGTTTTAGGAGACTTTTAATTAAGATTTTGTTTCAAAAGTAACTAGTTTGCTGAGTTTCACTGTATATTTTGAAGTATTTAATTAGATTCTAAAACTACTCTCAATCTAAAAGCCGTAAATGTTTGCCTCTGCAAGTAATTTAGCGAGTAATCACTGTATAAGGCAAATTCAACTTTAATTGAGTTGTTTTATTTGTTAAATTTTGTTGTTTTTGAGTAATTGAATTTTATTACTCAGCTGTTTTTCAGTATGCGGCTGTTTTTAGCCCTCGATACGCGAAAAATGCCATCGTATTATCAGTGCTTACACCTCCCGGTCCCTTCCCTCACGTTTTTTCTCCGCTTTTACTTTACCACCTGTGTATGAAATGTTAAAAGCTTTTCTTAACAGCGACTGCTTAACAAAATGCTCTCTCCTCGTTTCATTTGTTCATTCTCATTCGCTCTCTCGCCGCACTCTCTTCTTCTTCGGCAGTCAATCGATTAAAATGTTCAAGTTTTCGCCGTATTAACTTCGCCGCTCTCTCTGCGGCTCTCTCGTACTTACGCTCGCTCTCTGTCTGTTTCGCCGCACTGCTGCTGCACACCATACGTGCTCTCATTTTCTGCGCTTGTGTGCGTGTCTGCTGTTTTCTGTTTTATTCATTTTTTTTTTTGCTTGGATTCCGCAGCGAAAAAGGCCAATTTTTAGTAGCAGTAGCACGAAATTCGTGGCGAGAAGAACGCTGAAAATCGAAAAACGCGCGCCACAAATTATAAAGTTAAAGTTTAAATAAAAAAGAAGCAGGCGAAAAACCTTTGAATTTGCCGCTCTGCCGTTGCCGTTGAAGCTGCCGCTACTGCGCTGCCAGCGTCCGCTGCCCCCCGCTGCGCTGCTGCTGCGAATTTAGTTTCAATCGAGATTCACTCGCTTCGAGTTCTCTGCGCTCTTCGCTTCGCTTTTGATACCTCGAGTTTGCACTAAAAAAAGCAGGAAAAACGCTTAAAAAACAAACGAATAACGCCGAGAAAGAAACAGAAATAAACCACCTCGAAAACACCGCAGAAAAGGGCGAAAAAAGCGACGAAACTAAGCCAAGAAAGCAAAAACAAAATTAAACCAACGTCACTTCAATTTTGTTCTGTGCCCCTGTGTATGTGTGTCAGTGCCTGCGCGCGTGTGTGTGTGCGTGTGTATAAGTAACTGCTGCGCTGCAGTCGACAGCGCAGCGACAGCGACGCCACAAGCGCTGCAGAAGTTTTCGCCAAAAAAAAAAAAAAAAAAAAATTAAGAAAATAACAAAAGAAAAAAATAGCTGAAAAAAAAGAAGGTCAACGGTTGAAAACTTCAACAGAAAATCGACCAACCGCCCAGCCACCCACTCTCTCCGCTGCCGACGGCGACCGCGGTGGCGACTGTGACTGCGACAGCGGCGTCGACGTCCAGCGTTTTTCCGCTTTTCCCGTTCTTCGCTTCTCATCAATTCAACAGCGCTTTTCCGCTCGCCAACCTCATCGAGCATGTTGATCAACCGCGGATCTCTACTCGAAGGTAAAATCACCGATAAAACGATAAAAATTGCTGGGAAATAACATTTATAATAAACAAAAAATATTAAACCCAAAGAAAATTCAAGAAAACCAGGGAAAATCAAGGAATTTCAAGCCATTAACAGACCTTCTGACTTATCAAGTTATTAATATTCAATTTTACCGAGTCAATAGTTAGAGAAAATCAAAGGGAAATTGTTAAATAATTTGATCAAATTCGAGAATCTAAAAATACCGAATTAAGCACAAAATTTTAATTGATATTTATAAATAATATCTTGACGAAAATATAGCATATTCTAATTTGCACGCGTGGCGGAAAATGAAATGAAGTGAGAACTTAAGAGATGAAAAATTGTAGAACTTAGGGAATGTTTGAATGTGTTTTAAAAATTTGAACTATTAGAAGTAGTCCCCCTTATACATGGGCCACTTAACACTATGGTTATAGCTTATAGCCAATAAAGTCGAACATTGATTTCTTTTTCGATGATTATCTAGTGTTTTGTTAGGTACTTAGCATAGTCTAAATAGTTAAACTAAATCGCTTTTGTTGAGGCTTCAATCGTGAATCATTGTTAACGAATCGATCAAGGTGGAAGCCATCATCTCGTCAATGCCTTGTGGTATCGCAATTTGAAAACTAAATGAATCCGTTCCCATTTTCATTTCTAATACTTGCGATGCACTTTTCCAGTTGCCTCGTGTCACTCGTCACCTGTCGCCCACTCATTTAATATCGATTCATAATTCGAATCAGCTGCATTGCCCGAAGGCACCTTGAGTTGGCCCGTTTCATCGCTGCCCCTTTCTCACTGTCCACGTGCTAGGAGCTTTTTCATGCACCTGCAGCTGCCTTCACGAACCCATTACGTTTATGCGGCATTCAAATTTGTGATATTCTAGCTTAAGATCATTAAGAAGGACAAAGGATTGTCCTTCTAGAAAGAAAGATTGTTTAATTTTTTGATTTTTACAGAAATAGCATTATCTCATTCAAAATCAGCACACATTCCGTCATTTGAATGGAGGAGAATTCGTTTGAAAGCTTTTTTCTCTCCGCATAAACTTAGTAATTGATTAATTGCTCGCTCTTCTTCTTGGGCGATCTTTCGATTTTGATTCTGATTTCGATTCGGATTCAGATTCAGATTCAGATTCGTGCGTTGACTGCGCTGCTCTAGTCACCGCTCTCCTTGGCAGCGCTGCGTCATCGACGTCACATCGGCGTAAACAAGATAATGACCCACATAGTGGGTTAGGGGGTGGTGGCAACACCCTGCTGCATACCAAGCAAAAACGCAGCGATCTTCGTTGTTGTTGTCGTTAGTGCCTCTGTTTTTTCTGTTTCTGTTTCACTCTCTCATAAATATTTATGCAATTTTGCTGCTGCCATTTTGCTGTTTTTATTCCTTTTTTTTTTTTGTTTGAGTATTTTCTTTAATTTATAATTTTTGTGTTTTTCTTTCTTTGTTTTTCATTATGCTTGTCTTTCGATCGGCGACCCCCAAATGCGTTTTTCGGTTTTTATATTGCGTGCACTTGGCGTCGCTCCAAATCCACAATCCATAATTTATCAATGTTGTTTATGATTGAAGAAAAGCAAATGAATTAAACGGGTATAATAGGATACGACAGAAATAGGAGCAAGGGCACAGACCTCTTGAATGCTTTTTTTTGTTATAAAATTTCCTTAACAATTAATAGAAAACCTAAAAAGAACATTTTGTTGTTTAGCTAAGAAAACAAAACAAACTACTCAGTACTTTTAATGTCAAAATTCGGATCTAAATCTTTCGTTAAATATTCCAACTTTGAGTCCAGGCATCACCATCACCTTTAAACCCATTAGCTTCTAACGAATATCGCTTTTCATGATAATAATCGAAAGGAAAAGGCATTTGAAGAAAGGTCGCTAGAATCAGTAAACATATCGACCAACAAGAAGGCAGTTAAACCGAACCTCGTCCGCGATGTGAAACTCAAGGGTATCGCCGTCCCCGAGGGTCATGCAAGGCCGTCAACGGATAAGCACATGGAGCGTCAGTTTGTCCAGTCCGTGAATAGTTAGTGTCCTCCTTAATTTGTATTTACCACACCCCTCCCTAACTAAACTTAAGGAAAATATCTATGATATCCTTGTAATATATATATATTTATAATCGTTCCTTTCTTTTCTCTTTTCTTTTCAGGTAAGTTGACTATCTTTTTACTAAGCTATGAACAGGTCAGCGGGTAAGCAAAAGTCTGCCATCCATTATTTTAGGTCTATATAGCAATAAGTTATATATACTTTAGAGTGAACCAAAGCTAAAGTTCACGAATTTAATCAAATTTTAAGTTAAGGTTAAGGTATGGATTAAGTTGTTAGGTACATAAATTTATGTTAATATTTTTTAAAAGTGTCTAAAAGTGACAAATTTATTGATTTTTTAATATCAGAATGTTAAAAATGTAATTTCTAAAAACCCTTTATAACTCCTTAAGGGTTAAGTTTTGGCGGCCATTAAAGGCTTTGGCCTTGAGCCTTGCATACTTTTGGGCGGCTACCGTTTATCAAACGGTACTCTCGTACTACTTGCTTGCATTTATTGGGGCTTTCGCCATTAACGGTGCATGCAAGACCTCGCCACCCACTTTCCACTCTTTCACCTCTTTGGCTTTTGTTTTGTTGACTCATCCGCCACGCGCGCTCTCTTTTCTGTCTCTTTCTTTATCTCTTTTTCTCGGTTACCTAATTTTTGCATAAGCCGCCGACACATGAGAAATTTCGGTGCAGCACACTAATAAATGCGAATACCCACACACAATCACCTAAGGCACACACAACCGCATGCAAATGAGCTTTCCGTTGACTAGAAATTCTTTTGCGCGCGCGCTCTCTCTCTCTCTTGCCCGCTGTCTCCCTTGCTCATTCTTTCCCCATTTGCCCCCACATTCTCCTGTTCTTACTCACTCTATAAGGCGATCAATTTGCGGTTCCCCAACATCGCACAATGGGCACGTGGGTACGAATTTAGAATGAAATTAAATAAATAAAATTGTCTGTTATTGTTTAAGGCAGCCCTTTAAGCTTTGAGAACCAGAAGCGCGATACTATGTAGAAACTTTCAATTTGATTACCTGTGTTATACATAAATAAAACCAATTAGTTCTCTTTTGATGGAAAATCTAACCTAATGAACGAAATAAAGCTTCTGGCCCACTGTACAACGTTCAATGCTCCGATACAGTCGCGGTCAATTGGATAGGGCGTTTTGAAAAATTATGTCTAAAGAAATTTAGAAATTATTATACAATTTTGCAATCCAATTGGATTTCTTCTCTTAATCCTAGCTTTTTCAATGTTTGATTTAAAAAGTAAGCTAAAAGATTCATATTTACCATCAATTGAATGGTTTTCTTGTTTTGCCCGTTGCTGTGCGTGGGGGACGCCGGCGCAGCAGTTGCTGCGCTGCCCGCGGCTCTGCCGGTTGATGTGAATGTGATGTAGATGCCGATGCTTCGACTCGCTCACTCGCGTTGAATCCATCGAGCAGGCGCGTCGTACTCTCTCGTTCCGCCGCGTTCCATTCAGCCATTCCGCGACTCTATTTACTTATTGTTTTTGTACTTTTATCAGCTACAAAAAAAGCTAAAAAAAAAAGAAAGAAAAGCGAAATAAATATAAATAACAACGGCGAAACAAAAAGTGAAACAAATTCGTGACGCGCCTGATTACTTCTTTATTTTTTGTGTCAACAGTGTGTGCAGTGTAATGTGTCCCAAAAAAAGAAAAAGAAAAAAAAACTAATCGAATTCAATATGCATTGAAATCTAATTAGTTGCCACATTGTTGTTTTTGCTGTGTGACACCGTTAGGAAATGACCAAAAGAGTGGTGCTTAAATTAATTGGAGTTTATTTCACGGCGTTGTGAAATATTTTCTAACTAACTTTAACCTAAAAAACACACACACACACGCACCCAACTTGCCAATATATTTATGTTTGTTATTTTTATGCGAGGGAGATATTTTTAGTAGGAGAATGTTCTAGAAAGCTTTTTAAAATACCCTATTTTTCCGTTTTTCAATTTGAAAAAAAAAACACTTCGTCTCGCCTGGCAGATCCATAGATGTATATACATATATCCAAGTTTTTAGTGCAGCTTCACTACCAAAATGAAGAAGAAGAAATATCTAAAAATTCATCAATGGAAAAGTTTTTGCAATCTCTCTATCTCGCTCATTGGCTAGCCGTCTCTGTCGGCCCCGCTCTTTTCCCCGCAAGGCACACAACAAGTGGCAAATCAAAGCGGCGTCGTCTTCAAACCAGTTTTACTGTATCGTTGTTGTTACTGTTTCAGCGTACACAGAGAAAAATAGAGTCGATAGATATCTCTAAGATATAAAATTTTATAGATACTTTTTTATAAAAGGCTTTTATATCTTTTGGTTCGATATTATCTATTAGGGGTTTATATTTAGGTTTGTAGTATGTAATCACGTGTTGTTCTCGATTACAGATCACAAATTGTTTTTAGTGTAGTTTCTGCGGCTGCTGCGTCTCCGCGATAATTGTGTGGCGTTTCTCCTCCCCAATGGACCGCGCCCCCCACCCGAACTCTATCTCCCATTCCTCTGATCAACATTTGCTTTTATGGGCAAAAGTTCTTCAATGAGTAGTCAAAGCTGTGCGGATCGAAGGGGCAAGACGATGATTTGGAGTCGCTGCAGAGTACGTGCATGCAATTCCTTATTGGCGACAATGTTGAAATATGCGCTTGGCTGCAAAGATAACACCAGCGATCATAATAATAGCTTCGGAAAACTAATCTATTGGTTGGTTTATGAAATCCATATTCGTAGAGTAATACAACGTTATCCTAGAGTGGTGAATCATTTATGAAATATTTTCAAACTCTCTGAATAGGGCATTTCTGGGCTTTCCTTAGCCTTTCCATAATAGTGTGACCAAAGTTATCTATGAAAATGTAATATTAGTAATGTACCTACAAGTGTGGCCGCTGCTGTTTATGGCAGCTTGGGCCAAAAGTGAATTATTCATGTTGTTGCTGCTGTCGCTTTGCCAGTGGAAAATTACCAAAAAAAATTCGCATGAACTGTGCCGGCTGCTCCTCCTCCTTCTCTCTTCCTCCTTCCACTCGCCGTCTTCTTCTTCCAGTGCCCCCAAAGGCAAAAAGTCGGAGTCGAAGTTACTTCGTGTGTAGTTGTTGCTTTTGCCCACTCTTTCGCTTTAGTTTTATATTTTTTTTTCTTTTCTTTAACATTTTTATACTCTTGCAGAGGGTATAGAAAAATGACTTAATAGTTAGATTCCTAATAGGATATATGGATTAGATAAGTTTCCATAGAAAAGTCTGCGGCTCTTAAAGAAAATGGCGCAGAGTAAGAGTTATCAGCGTGAAGCCTTTCGAAAAGATATTTGGCTATTGATTTGTATAGTAAGGGTATTGTATAAGGGTATTAGGACTTCCATTTGCCGAAGTTAGCTTCCATTCTCGTTTCTTTTTATAAAAATAGCACAGACGAAGAAATATTTGCACAAATACACACACGTGTGTGGTAGCATTTGCTAATTTTCTTCGTTTGTTTCGCTTTTCGTTTTTTGTTTGTTGATTTTTCTGGTAATTCATTCGCCTATTGCCTTTTCCCCCTTTTATTTCTTTGCGTCTGTTATTTTTCTTCTCTTTTAATATTCAGTTTTGCAATCAATTTCGAAGGCAATCAATTTGTATCTTTGAAATGTGACGATCAGTTTACGTAGCTCTCTTAAGCCAGGCCTTTCTCCGCAACTCTTTCGATGCTCTTTGATATCTTTCTTCTCTTTTACCCACGCCCACGCCTTAAGTGTGTCAATGGTTCAAGGCAGACGAATGAAGAATCAACACAGAGCTTTTCACTCAAAAAGCTCCTGAAAATGAGAGCTTTGCTTTCGTCAGACTTTTCGGGGGCCAAAACTGCATGACGTGCCACCTGCCATCAGAGCCAACGCAATTTGTGTTGCCAAAAATCGTAAAATGTACTCGTATTTGAAAAAAAGTATTTTTTGCTTAAAGAGATGCCAAAAAGTAATCTTTATTATAATCCTGACAAATTTATCTTTAAGGTATTGCAATATCTAAATTTGTACTATCAGAGATTGCTTTGTTCTGATAAGATTTGTTTTTGAACTTTGAAACACTTTTTTTCCCAGCGATCTTCTGATCCATTTTCCCGTATTACTATCTTCACTAATTAAAAACCAAATAATTCTCGTTCAATGCAGTTGCTGTTGCTCATAATCTTCGATTGTTCTCGGCAGTCAGCTGACTTTTGTTTCACCCAAGCCAAGCGATGCTCCACGTTGATCATCTTATGAATATTTTTACGTATTGATTTGATTTCTTTTGTTGTTGCTTTTGGAACGTATGGCATAATGACGCTTATGATGACGCGCTTGAAAAAAAACGAGCAAAAGTCGGAATTATATTGAAGCGCCCCTCTGGCGGTTTCTCACGCCCGTTTTTGGAGGTGAATTGGGGCTTTGGCATTTTTGGTAACCAGAAATGTCGTTGAAAAAAGGTATATATATATATTATATATTCGTATAACGAAATGAGGAATACGGCCAATGGCACAAGCCCCAGTGCAGGCACACTTAAAAATCACAAACGTGTGTGTTTTATAATGCATTTCCGGTCATTAAATATTAAGTTATCTGAGCTATAGAACGTGCCCGCAAATTTCTGACATAATTTTGTAATATTATGATTGCCTTTCATTTAGTTTAATAACAAGTCAATGAGTAGGCGTTAATTAAATTCAATGAGCTGTTGATTAACTAATACCTTTCATTATTTTCCAATAAGTACTGTAAGTACTTAACGAACATTCCTGCATACTGTAGCACAAAGAACCTTCTGACGTCGCATTCTTGTTATCGTTCAATTAACATTTTTCACATTAATTTTCAATAAAATAATACGTACATTAATGATGGCAGAGCTGGTGGAGGGAGGGAGTGGGGTATGGATGAGGGAGTGGATGGTACGCAATCAAATCGGTCATATAACGCCCAGGGAAAGGAATATGCAAAGGCGGCAGTCGAATAAAAATAACGATATTTAAGTAAACAACTTGGGTTGGATACAGAAAGCTGGCCAAGAAGCCACACGACATCGCGTCGTCTTGTCTTGGGTTATAAAAGTGTGACAACAGCACGCGCTGTTCCATTCCGATTATTCCAGCCTCCCAAATAGCTTTTTCGCTCAATTAATTAACTTATTTTTTATTGCATACGATTCTATTAAAAATGATTGCGGTCCCTCGATTGGATTGCTGGGATTGTGTGCGAGGCATACAAATCTATTGGGGAATGTGGGCAACAACGCCATCAAGCGGCAGTTAAAATTTACTTACTTAATAGCCCATTGCAACACAGTAAGAAAATACTTATTATTTGGTAATCTTGAAGGTTTTGTTCAATCTGTTTGTTCCAAAAGTGATCACATTGTCTTCCAGAGGTTTGTTACAAACCTGAAAGAAGAAATCGAGTCGATCAATACCATTTGTGGCATAAAGAAAAAGAAAAGAGTCTCCTGGATTAGGCTTCCTGTTTAACGGGAATTCGCTTTGACGATATCCACTCGTTGATTGATCAACAACTGTCATCAGGTTTTTGATTTCGTTGGTATTGATGGACAGGCAATTGACAAGTTGAAACTAATCTGTTAATTGAGTTCTACATGGAAATGTTTTCAATTAAGGGGGGTATTGGGGAGGTGCCTGAAGGTGCCTGGAGGTTGTTGTCCGGTTGTTTGTTGCCTTTATTCTCTGTTTTTGCGGAAATTCATAGAGCAACACGGAAAATGCAATTAATTTATGCGAGAATGTGGAAATGGCGGAAAAGCACGCACTCAGTGTTTCAAATCATCTTGAACTGATTGAATGGATCATTGAAACAAATGAAGTTTTATCGAGCATTCCAAATCCTCGAAATATTGACTCATCAAATCATTCATACGAAGTGAACAGTGAATTGTTCAGGGCATTATTACTATATGTATTTATATATATATTAAATATACATATCGCTTTTGAAATGCGCTTTTCAACCACGGGAAACTAAAAACGAGACTTGGATTTAGATTTGGTGTTGGCAATTTGCGGTTCTTTTGTTGGTGGATTGCTTGGTGGTGTGCTGCGAGGCCAGTTAACTACATTGAAACCAGTTGTGTGGTGTCGGCTAATGACTACGACGCCCACCTGCCTCCCATCCCATCGTTCCCGCCCCCCATTTGGCAAGGCCGATTATCGACCGCTGGCCGAAGGCTGCGAAGAAAAAGCAAATACAAGCAACAAAGCGTTTAGAAAGTTACCAACTGTTGAAGTTACCTTGATTGATCTGTTTGTTGCGTTTATTTCTTGTTTCATTCAGCTGTTTCAGGTTAATGGTCATGCCTGGCCTTGCCAGCGTTCTATTCCGTTTGCCCTAAAATAAACAGTTTGGAAAGTAGTCAGTGTATTTTTCAGTTTTGCAGTTATTCTAAGATTTCTTGATACACATTTTTCGTGTTTCTTATCAGAGTTTCAAATCAAAGGTTTCACATATCAAGGATAACGATTTATTTGCGTTCTACTTGGTTGTTTTTGGTTTAACGGACACTTGGCCTTGATTGTCCGTGTTCCGTTCCATTTCATTTAGTTTTAGCTTGTTCCACTTAGCGATGAGAGCCAGGTGTCAATCAAATGATCAACAATCGAAACGTTTA